CTCCAGAGCGCTCTGGACCTCAGACTGGGGCAAAGGTTCACCTTTCAACAGGACAACGACCCTAAGCACACAGCCAAGATAACAGAGGAGTGGCTTCGGGACAAGTCTGTGAATGTCCTTGAGTGGCCCAGCCAGAGTCTTTTTTTTTCTTGTGTGTCAGTCATCCACACCAATCAGAAGTACTATTATAGTACAAGCCATTGTTAACCAATCAGAAGTGGCCCATGATAGAAGGTGATAGACAGATTGTGACAGATTTTTAAAGTGCCTGCCCTTTCCAAATGGCTTCCAATGGAGCTTTCCTAGATGGTTTGGTGAACCATCTGAGTCAGGTTAGTAATGCTCCATCACATGTGTTACATCTCTTACAGGGTGAATCTTAAACTGAAGCTTGACTTTAAAGCAACCCAACGGAAGTTTCATGTAAGTTTAGTTCTTTCACTCGTAGCTCGGGCTGCGGGGGTGCTAGAGACGGGAGCATGTTGATACGACCTTCCTAGCCGGAGTTATGGCCGCATTTTACAATAAACTTACGTTGGGTCGCTTAAAAACAAATATCGCAATCGCAATATTTGTCAGAAAAATCGCAATTAGATTTTTGCCCAAAATCGTGCAGCCCTACTGTGCACCGACGCTCCCAAGCTGATGGAGCTTGAGACGATCTGCAAAGAAGAATGGGAGAAACTGCCCAAAGATAGGTGTGCCAAGCGTGTAGCAACATACTCAAGAAGACTTGAGGCTGTAATTTCTGCCAAAGGTGCTTCAACAACGTATTGAGTAAAGGGTGTGAATACTTATGTTTATGTGATATTTGAGTTTTTTTTTTTATTCATTTGCAAATAGTGTTAAAAAATTGTTTTCACTTTGTCATTATGGGGTAATGTGTCTAGAATGTTGAGAAAATAAATAAATTTAAACCATTTTGAAATATGGCTGTAACATAACAAAATGTGGAAAAAGTGAAGGGGTATGAATACTTTCCGGATGCATTGTAATTTAACAAAAATTGTTGATATTTAATTATTTTATGGTTCTTTTAATTCAATGGATGTTATCGCAACCAATATTTCTGGGACAAGGGTGGAAGGGAAATGGTAAAACTATATTTTAATTGTACTTTTTACCTGTGAAATAAATAGTTACGTTCTTTAAAAAAATATATGATCAGTTTGGGACAATTTTAGAATCAGATTATAAAATATATTACGACAACAGGTCAACTTCAGTTTTAATTAGTGTCAAAATTAAAAACGTGTGTATTTTTGCCTCTTGAAAAAAAAAAGCTGAAAAGTTAAGCCCATTTTTATCTATCTACAAGATAGATGTGGCCATATGTTCTCATATTTAAAGTATCCTTAGTAATAAGCACGCTGTGTAACAACCAAAGATAAAGCAGCATTTCAATATTAAAACTCCATTTCTTCTTCCTTTTTAATTCCCACTACAGTCCTGCTGAAAACATGCAGAGCGACAAAGCTGACAATCCGACACAGCAACAAGAAACAGATGAAGATGGAGAAAAACCTGGAAGATCAGAAGCAGAGGAAGGTGGCGATGGAGAAGATGATGATGAGGGGGAGGAAGATGATGGAGAAGATGGAGATGAGGGGGAGGAAGATGATGGAGATGAGGGGGAGGAAGATGATGGAGATGATGTTGGAGATAAGGAGTGGAAACCAGAGGAGAGTGACGATGGAGAGAAGGAGTTAGGAAGGGAAGCTTCGAGAGTGAAAACAAAAAGGAGGAAGGAAACCGTCGGCGCTCCTTTAGCTTGTAAAGTTTGCGGAGCTCTTCGAGGATCCCTGAATATGCTGATCAAACACTCCTGGGGTCACGTGCACGAACAGGAAAGTGTGTGTGGAGTGTGTGGAGAAAACGTTGAGGATCTGAGACACCATCTGCAAACTCACCAGAAAACGTTAGAGGGTTGCGACATCTGCGGAAAGTCCTTCCTCACCGCCGCGAGTCGAGATAAACACGCCGTGTTGCACACGGGAGAGAAACCGTACGAGTGCAACGTCTGCCACAAAGCGTACGCGTTGAAATCCAGTTTGAAGGCGCATCGGTGGGAACACGTGCAGGAGAAACCACACAAGTGTCAAGTCTGCAATCGGTCTTTCGCTTTTAGTCACCTGCTGACGGTTCACAGCAGCATTCACACGGGGGAGAAACCGTACAGTTGCGACGTTTGCGGGAAATCCCTTGGCCACCTCAAATCTTTGTCGCGACACAAGCTGACTCACAGCGGGGAGAAACGCCACGTCTGTCAGGTGTGCGGGAAGCGTTTTTTTCTTCTCGAGAATCTTAAAGGGCACGAGAGAATCCACGCGGCTCGAGACAAAACGCACCTCTGCGACGTTTGCTGCAAGACCTTCCACACCTCATCTCAGCTGAAGAGTCACCTGAAGACACACAGCGGGGATAAGATCCTTTGTCAGGAATGTGGAAAAGGGTTGTCGTCTCAAGGCGCTTTGATTCGACACATGGTGATTCACACAGGGGAGAAACCGCACAAATGCTCCGAGTGTGGGCGCACCTTTAATGCGTTGAGTATCCTCAGAGGACACATGAAAACACATTCGGGCGTCAAACCGTTTGTGTGCAATATCTGCGGGAAAGTGTGCGCTCGTAAGGAACATCTGACCGTTCACATGAGGTTGCACAACGGGGAGAAACCGTACAAATGCATCGTTTGCGAGAAAGCCTTTACGCAGAGTCACTGTCTGAAAACTCACATGAAGAATCACCGACGTGAAGAAGAGACGGCGGCGGACGCAATAACATCCTGAAAAACTGTAATAATTGTTTCTCCAAAATGTTGAAAAATAAACATTTTTAAAAAGCTTGTTGACAGTTGTGTGAGTTTTATTTATCAGGTTAATTCCCTTTAAACGTAGAATTTCATTCATCTAATAATGCTACATTGTAGTTAGCTAAGAGTTACCTGAGGTTACGTTGACTGACAATACGATGCGTTCAAGCTCTCTTCAGTGAAAATGTCTAAAATTGTATCTTGTAAAATTACATTTCTGGCAAGAAATGTATAATAATGTAAACACAGCGATATAAATAATATACAATATGAATCAGTAAGAAATGGGAATACTCAAGTACAGTAGAAGTATTTAAAAAAAAAAAAAAAAAAAATTAGATTCCAACATTGATCATATTGTATAATAAAAACCTTAATGACCTTTTATTATATATATATTATGTTATTTTCATTTAATATAATATTAAATATAATAAATAATAATCACGTGACATGTTGAATCATTGATATTTATATAAAGCAAAAAAAATTAAAATCCAAATGATAAATAACCCTAAAAATAATTAATTAATTTTATACAATGGGGTTAAAAGGCGTCTAAGAACATAACCGGGGGTTACGTATTGTAACCCTAGTTATATAAGCACAGGCAGCGCCCTCTACTGGACTCTGTGGGTACTACTCTCTATCAAGCTATGCGTGCATTCACCTACTGAGTTGCATAAACGTAGCCGGCCAATCGGGGCGAGCCTACCTAAATGCGCGCGCAGGCCCACAGTATATAAGGCGGCTACGCCTCCCGACCGCCATCCTACACCCTCTTCAGCGAGCGGCATAGGAAAGACAGGGTCCCCAGGTAGAGGGCTCCGCCTGTGCTTATATAACTAGGGTTACAATAGGTAACCCCCCGTTATATATCACAGGCTCCGCCCTCTACTGGACTCTATGGGTACAGTGGGTGGAGCCCCGATGGTATAAATGCCCTGTCGTCCAACAACATCGACCCATCACACTGCCCCTGACCGGCCTTTGGTTAACAGCCACCGCACCCCAACTTCCTCTCATCCGGATGTAACCGTGGAGAAGTCGGGGCCGCAGCTTACATGGCCGGGTAGAGCCGAATTGGTCTGAATAAGCCCATAGCTCCACCC